CTTAAAAAAAAACAAACCCAACACCTCCCCCCCCCCCCCCCCCCCCCCCCCCCCCCCCGTGAAGAAATGAGGCCTAATGTAATTTGCCAGTTTCTGGTTTCTAGAAGGGGGTGGAAAGTTTGCAGATACCTGAATGTTTATTGTGAACATCAGCAATGGAGGTATGATTGGGGCAAGCAAAGGAAGTCCTTTTAAATTCTACCCATTGGATTCTCTTTCTGAACAGCCTTTTCGTGAGCTATGTACAAGGTTTCTTGGTCTACATGAAGGCATAAAAAAAAGCCTCTGAATATTGAACTGTAAATCGTGCTGAATATCAAGCAATGCCATCAGTTCATTTTTTAAAAATCCATAAAATAAACTTCTAAACTAAGACTGAAGTCCTTGGATTCCACATTTGTGATTTGTTCGTTCAGAAAACATAGCTCAGTAATCTAAAATATTTGAGTCAATGTTTATCAATCACGTTTGCAGGGTAGTTTACAAGTTTATTTTTAAAGAAATGGATTCACTTACAAAGTAATTATTAAAAATATTCAATAGTGATCAATGTTCACTAGCTGCAGTCATTCAGTCAATATTTATTGAACGCCTACTGTGTGCAAGGTATTGTTTCAGGTTTTCATAATAAAACAACAGCTGCAAAAAGCAATAAAACTATCTGCCCTGCCCTCATGGACCTTACATTCTAGTGGGGAGGGAGAAAATAATGGAAGAAAAGTAAAATACACGATGTTTTAGACAGCAGTGAGTGCTAAGAAGAGAAATAAAGCAGGAAAGTAGGACACGGGCATGTGGCAATTTATGTAGGGTGACCAAGGAAGAAATTAAAACGCACATATTCCTCAAGTTTAAAATTATGTAGCATTTCACCTGTACTGAGAGATATCTGATATATTTTTGTACATGACCAAAATAATAATGTTAAAAGGCAATAAAAAGGTGTACAGGGTTTTAGGGTTCTAGACAATGGCCTTTTTAAAGATTAAATCTATAGTGAGATACCCCTGGTTTCAATTTCACTTTAATAATGAATATGGAGTCCTTTCTTTGTTTTTTCACATTTAGTTTTCCAAGAAGTAGCAGGACTGGCATTTTTTTCTCTAGTCCAGGAAGCCTCATAAGGCAACATGCACTCTTGAGAGCAGGGACCATGTCTCATTTTTTAATTCCCCAGAGCCTTCAACAGTGACTGGCCCCTATCGCTCAAACCAGCCTTGGTACCCGGAACCTGCTGAACTCAGGCGAATGTGCCTGTCCAGTAAATACTAATTCCAGAGGTTGGCTGATCGGGCCCCGGGGAGGAGACCCCGGGGGCCGAGGACAGGCCGGGGCCGCGGACGGCGCTCTCCACGCGGCGCTTCGTGGTGCTCCTTATCTTCAGCCTGTACTCGCTGGTGAACGCCTTTCAGTGGATCCAGTACAGTATCATCAGCAACGTGTTCGAGGGCTTCTACGGCGTCTCCTCGCTGCACATCGACTGGCTGTCCATGGTGTACATGCTGGCCTACGTGCCCCTCATCTTCCCGGCCACCTGGCTGCTGGACACCGGAGGCCTGCGGCTCACCGCGCTGCTGGGTTCCGGCCTCAACTGCCTGGGCGCCTGGGTCAAGTGCGGCAGCGTGCAGCAGCATCTGTTCTGGGTCACCATGCTGGGCCAGTGCCTGTGCTCCGTGGCCCAGGTGTTCATCCTGGGCTTACCGTCTCGCATCGCCTCGGTGTGGTTTGGGCCCAAGGAGGTGTCCACAGCTTGTGCCACCGCCGTACTGGGCAATCAGGTAAGGACTAGGGTGATGAAAATCCGATCCTTAAAGGACCAGATGAAGTCATAGGCCATGTAAGCTGAGCATATGGTGGACCCTTAGGAGGCCTTTGTCTTTAAATAAGAGAGATGAGATGAGGCCACCTGGGATTAAAGAGGGTTTTTGGTTTATCTGTAAAGATAGAACTTTAAAAACCACTGTAAAGTGACCACCTTGTCATCTTGCTTTGAGAATTACCTATAAAATAAGTACCTGAATTGGCCCATATATGCCTAACATCATAGAAAATTTGTCAATGAATGAGGCAAGTAGATGTTGTATCACCCCAGTGTATTCTTTGCAAAGGGAAGGTGTTATATTCTGGGAAGTTTGTCCTCATTTTGAGTGGTCATTGTGAACAGATCCTGTTTTATGTTATATATTAGCAGTCATCAGAGTGGTACATAACACACTTATAAATGCTAATTAAGTGTTCTAGTGATAGAGACCTCACAACATTACTGAGCCCAATTACCAATTTTTAACAATAAGAAAATGCAAGATAGGTCACAGGTCATGGAATCCATTGTAAAAATTTAGTTTATTTTGCCAAGTATCCGTTAAGGTTCTTCCTAGTCTTTCTTAACAGCATAAGTTCAAATTCCATTAATATTTCAGTAACATTACTAGGTAGAATGTTTTAATTGCAGACTGATTCTTGTAACTTAAATTTTGCATACAGGCATTCTATGATAGTTTATGTAAATTGTACTGAGTGTTCATTCAGCTTGAGAATCTATATAGAAGTCTATAATACCAAAATTTCACTTTCTCTATACATATATTACTGTAGTTATGTTACAAAATAATGTTACTTTCTTACTTCCAGTCTAACACTTGTTTCAAGATCACAATCAGATTTATTTAAAATCCCTAATTACTCATGGAATTCCTTTCACTTTGAATGCTATTCTTGTTTGGGTAATAAATTATATCATCTTTCCCTGCCTCTCCATCACAGTATTCTCACACTCTCTTATAATTATCTGCTTAGTTGTTTCTACCCAGCTTTTTATAAAGGAGCAATTAAAATATTTGCTAAGTGTAACTATCTCTGCCTCAGCCTCCTTTTTGATACCTGTGCTGGGTGGGGCCTTCCTCTTCACCTCCATTCCCCTGAAGAATCTGATATCTGCATTGAGGCTCCTTTAATACGTTGATTTTATTTCTCATGTTGTGATTATCATATTCTGCCTTACTTTTTTCTTACTGAGGTGAAGTTCATGTAACATAAAATTAACCATTTTAAAGTGCACAGCTCAGTGGCCTTTAGTATGTCCACCATGTTGTGCAGCCATTACCTCTATCTAGTTCTAAAACATTACCCAATACCCATTCAGAAGTTGCACCTCATTCCCCCTCCCTCTATCCCTTAACAACCACTGATGTACTCTTTCTCTCTGTGGATTTACCTCTTCTAGATACTTGATATAAATGGAATCAAACAATATGTGACCTTTTGCATCTGGCTTCTTTCACTTAGCATGTTTTCAAAGTTAGTCCATGCTGTAGCATGTATCAGTACTTCATTGTCTTTGTGGCTAAGTAATATCTCATTATATGGATATACAGCATTTTGTTTATCCACTTGAGTTGTTTCGCTATGGTGTGTAGGGCTGCTCTGAATATTCATGTTCAACATTCAATATTTGTTTGAATATGTCTTCAGTTTTTTGGGGATATATACCTAGGAGTGGAATTGTTAGGTCATTTGGTAATTCTATGTTTAACTTTTTAAGGAACTGCCAACTTGTTTTCCACAGTGGCTGTACTATTTTACAATCTCACTAGCAGTGTACAAGAGTTCCAGTTTCTCCACATCTTGCCAACATTTGTTATATTCTCCTTTTTTTTAGTAGGCATCTCGGTAGGTATGAAATAGTATCTCTTTGTGGTTTTGACTTGCATTTCCCTAATGACTAATGATGTTGAACATTTTTTCATGTGTTTGTTGGACACTCATATCTTTGGAGAAATGTGTGTTCAAGTCCTTGGCCCATTTTAGAATTGGATATTTGTCTTTTTGTGGTTGAGTTTTAAGAGTTCTCTATATATTCTGGATAGTACATTCTTATCATATACATGATTTGTATATATTTTCTCCCAGTCTATAGGTTGTCTTTTCTCAGCCTTATTTTGCAACACATTTTTTTAACACATGTTTGATGTGTAAGCATCTAAAGGGTAAGGACTGCATCTTATACAACTTTAGAGCAGCATCACTTAGGTAGTAGGATCTCAGCAAATGTTAAATAGGGAAGACATTTGTCAGCAGTTCCCCTTTACAATAGTAAAAAGACATCAGAACATGGTGCTTCAGAGTTTACAAAAGCACCTTACATACACTAGCTCTCTTCTTTCTGTTGTATAATTGCCAGTATGTACTCTTTTTCTCTTACAATAATAGCTATTAACAGGAGTGTTTATTTTACAGCTTGGAACTGCAGTTGGCTTTTTGCTACCACCAGTTTTAGTGCCCAACACGCAGAATAACACAGATCTTCTGGCTTGTAATATCAGTACCATGTTTTATGGAACATCAGCTGTTGCCTCACTTTTATTTATTTTAACAGTAATTGGTAAGTGAATTATTTTTTCTAATGCTAAATTAGATAAATGCATGAAAAACATGAAAATAAAAAATAACCAACCCTGATTTTTTTGATGGTATCTCAAATGCCATTTGCTTGTTTCACTCTTGCCATTCACCTTCTTATTCAGGTAATGAATGCTACAACCCTAGGGATGTATTATGTCCCACTCTACTTATTGTAATATTATAAAGGCTTTGAAGACTAATTCATTTCATTTATCTCTCTACTAACTTTTCTTCCCTGATAACGGCTGATTTCAAACATATTACCTGCTTCCTCTTTGTGCATTCCTCATGTTCTGCATCTGACCTAGCCAGGAGCAAGTTCTTGTCATGCTTTGAAATGGTACAAATAGGCTACGACCTTCCTTTTTCTGATAACCCTTCCAAGGATCCCTAATGTAACAATTAACCGGATCTGAAAATGTTGACGAGTGAATGATCCTGGGCAGCAGCAAGCTGTTCAGCAAATTTCAAACTGGCAACTATCTGCTTGTTAGGCCCCTCGAGCAAAGCCGCCACCATTCGTCACTGAGTCCTGCCTGGGCCTGTCTGTTGAAGCAGTCAGTCAGATCAGCTCCAAGCAGCCATCACCAGTTTGGAAGAAGGTCTGGGAAGGTCTGCTTTTTAAAGTTTGTTCTTAATGGGAAACAATTTTGTTTGAAGGGAAAAGAATAGGTAATGTTCATTTAAGTAATATACCTGCTAAAATGACTACAATATTGCTCTTTAGCCTCTCAGTATATTGTAAATTAACATGGAGAGGAAAGGAACTTTAAAGTTGAAAGGCCATTAACTAAAATTTACAGTTAAATTGCACTATAGCTGGAGTTATTAGACTTATGTATTAATTTCTACAGAACATGGCTATCACAATAATGAAAAATCCAGGTGTTAAAACCTCCAGATATTAAATCCTTAGTTCTTAAAGAAATATATGCTGAAGATTGAAGTATTTCGATAGAGACTGCAGGATCCAATGTAGGAAGCTCAGTTTAACTTCCCTTAAGGTAATAAACAAAATATTCTCTTAGTAGCACATAAAGTATTCAGACATGTCCAATCGACTTATTATTTTTCTTTTTTGGTTTCATTAATACACACTTAGATGAGTAACATTGTGGTTGCTAGATTCCCCCCATTATCAAGTCCCCACCACATACCCCATTACAGTCACTGTCCATCAGCATAGTAAGATGCTATGTCCAATCTACTTATGATTGGTTTTTGTGTTTCAATTAGTGAGTGGCATATTGCTGTGTGCAGACTACTGAAAAAGGACAAATTATGCCTGTACTACTTAAGCAGTTTAACAAATGTTTAAAAGAAATCTGTATTTTTTAAAAACAAACCCTTAAGTATGTTTTTCTGATAGCCATTTTTGATTTGCTAGTAAAGTATTAAATGTTATTTACATACATTTTGCATAAATGGACCTTCATTTAGCAATACGGGTTATTAAAATATAAAATCGTCTTCCCTTTGGTTGTTTAAGTATCTTCACATAAATTCTGGTTTTCCTTTTTTTATTGTCTTCACTTGCTTGTCTCTTTGGAAGAAGTGAGAGAATAATTGAATATAAGGTATCTATAGATATGAAATGACATATATGACACAATATGTTTAAACATATATATGAGATGCTTTATATATGTTATTTGTCAAAGGAGGTGGACAAAAAAATGAATAATACATGTGGCCATTGACATATTACCCTGGGTTACTTGAGAAATTAAAAGAGCTATTCGTGTACATAATTACTTATTTAGGTACTCATGGCCTATGAGTAAACAGTGGAAATGGAAATGGACAGGGTTGTGAAGAATGGAGAAAAATGGAATGGAAATGGAATAGGAAAAAAAGGGCTCATTGTCAAGTTTTGCTTGGTGCCCTGTAACCTTTATCATGTGATACCAAATATAGTATAAAAGGAAGATAATATACAGTTGTGATATGAAAGTCTTAGAGTGAAAATTGTGACATTTAAATTAAAACTTTCCCTGTTTTCCTTATACCCAAATATTTATTGTTGAGGAAAATATGGATCATTTAAAAAATTCTTACTTAAAGGTCCTCAGTTACTAAGAGACAATCCTACTTCCCTCTAAACTCTATCCACAAATACAGTTGACCCTTGAAAGTGAGTGGAATAGGGGTATTGACCCCCATGTAGTCGAAAATCTGTATATAACTTTTGACTCCCCTAGAACTTAACTACTAGTAGCATACTGTTGACCAGAAGTCCTACTGATAACATAAATAGTCAATTAACATATATTTTTATGTTATATGCTATATCCTTAAAATAAAGGAGAAAATGTTTTTTCAGACTGTCACAAATTTACAAAATTTTTTCCCAATATATTTATTGAAAAGAAGCTGCTTATGAGTGAACCCATGCAGTTCAAACCTGTGTCCAAGGGTTACCTGTACTTTGGAAGCCCAATCAAATCTTACAAAGTAATTTAGTTCTTTGCTGAGCTTCTCAGCAATGTGACATATACTAAATTGGTGGTCAGCAGGCTTCCTAAAATACTGGCTTGCAGCATCATGGTGTGTAATCCCATCACTCCCACAGAGCTCACATATCAGTATAGTCCACCAAGCATTTTTTAGGAATTAACCCAGATGTTCCACTGAATTTCACTCTAATACCCCATTCTTACTGGGAAACACTATTGTGACCTCTAACGTTCGATTGTTTGATATACACAAACATGTTTAAAGGCATACTACAGGAAGAATTAATGTTGTCAAAATGGCCATCCTGTCTAAAGTATTCTACAGATTCAGTGCAATCCCTATCAAAACACCAATGACATTTTTCATCGAACTAGAGCAAATAGTTCTAAATTCATGTGGAACCACAAAAGACCCTGAAAAGCCAAAGCAATCCTGAGACAGAAGAATAAAGCAGGGAGTACTACACTCCCCGACTTCAAGCTCTACCACAAAGCCACAGTAATCAAAACAATTTGGTACTGGCACAAGAACAGACCCATAGATGAATGGAAAACAATAGAGAGCCCAGATATAAACCTAAGTATATATGGTCAATTAATATATGATAAAGGAGCCATGGATATACAGTGGGGAAATGACAGCCTCTTCAACAACTGGTGTTGGCAAAACTAGACAGCTACATGTAAGAGAATGAAAATGGATTATTGTCCAACTCCATACACAAAAGTAAACTCAAAATGGATCAAAGACCTGAATGTAAGTCATGAAATCATAAAACTCTTAGAAGACAACATAGGCAAAAATCTCCTGAATATAAACATGAGCAACTTTTTTTCCTGAACTATCTCCTCGGGCAAGGGACTCAAAAGCAAAAATGAACAAATGGGACTACATCAAGCTGAAAAGCTTCTGTACAGCAAAGGACACCATCAATAGAACAAAAAGGCATCCTACAGTATGGGAGAATATATTTGTAAATGACATATCTGACAAGGGGTTAACATCCAAAATATATAAAGAACTCACCACCTCAACACCCAAAAGGCAAATAACCCTATTAAAAAATGGGCAGAAATATGAACCGACAGTTCTCCAAAGAAGTAATTCATATGGCCAATAGACACATGAAAAGATGTTCCACATCACTAATCATTAGGGAAATGCAAATTAAAACCACAATGAGATATCACCTCACACCAGTTAGGATGGCCAGCATTGAAAAGACTAAGAACAGCATATGCTGGTGAGGATGCGGAGAAAGGGGAACACTCCTAAACTGCTGGTGGGAATGTAAACTAGTTCAACCATTGTGGAAAGCAATATGGAGGTTCCTCAAAAAACTGAAAATAGAAATATCATTTGACCTGGGAATTCCACTCCTAGGAATTTACCCAAAGAATACAAGTTCTCAGATTCAAAAAGACATATGCAACTCTGTGTTTATCGCAGCACTTTTTACAATAGCCAAGATATGGAAGCAACCTAAGGGTCCATTAATAGATAAACGGATAAAGAAGATGTGGCACATATACACAATGGAATACTATTTGGCCATAAGAAAGAAACAAATCCTACCATTTGCAGCAACATGAATGGAACTGGAGGACATTGTGCTCAGTGAAATAAGCAAGGCGGAGAAGGACAAGTACCAAATGATTTCCCTCATTTGTGGAGTATAACAACGAAGCATAATTGAAGGAGCAGAACAGCAGCACACTCACAAACTCCAGAAAGAGACTAGAGGTTACCAAAGGGGAAGGGTGGGGAGGGAGGGTGAAGGGGATTGAGGGGTATCATGATTAGTTCACATGGGGAAGACAGTGTAGCACAGAGAAGACAAGTAGTGACTGGCATCTTACTACACTGATGGGCAGTGACTGCAAGTGGTATGGCAGGGACTCAATAATATGGGTGAATGTAGTACCCACACTGTTTTTCATGTGAAACCTTCATAAGAGTGGGTATCAGTAATGTCTTCATAAGAGTGTGTATCAGTAATACCTTAAATAATTGTATAAAAAAAATACATTTTACTTACTAGTCTATAAGAATTTCAAGCCTCTGAGATAAAGTCTGCTTTTAAAGAATAAGTATTCCTCAGAAAGACAAATGTATTTTGAGTAACACTTAATAAATACCAAATGTATTTACTATCAGCATAAATCCTTAGAACATAACTTTGTTCTTTCCATTTTATGGATGAGAAAACTGTAGTCAAGAGACAGGAGTAGACTTCTTCAGAGTTATACAGTAATGTAAGCAGAGCCTAAATTCAAACCTATGTTTGTCTTGTAATATGTTAATATATATAATGTCTGCTGGAATCATACAGGGACACATAATGAAAACAAAAGATAATGTTTTAATCTAATTTCAAAAAGTAGATGTGGTCCTAAACAATAGATTTGCTACTTACTCATCATGGGAGAAAAAGTTTGAATGTGGTGCCCCAAAATACTCTGGGCTACTTTATGTGCCTTTTGCCAGGGGTGGAGAATAACTGCTTTAGTAGTTATTTTATTGGCACAAGTTTTTGGTGGGGAGAAGAGAAGAAGGTAGGAGGCTACTGTTTTTCAATTTCAAAGGAGAAAGAAAAAGCCATGACTTATCCTTTGAGAGGAAAAATGCAGCATAAAAAAAAACTGATTTTTTTTGAGTTCCTCTTTTTCTTTGGACCTCTTAAGTAGACTTAAGCCCAACTTTACTATATTGTGTACCTTGTAGATACAGGCTTGATTTTGTCCAAGAGGGAAGGTGACAACCTGAAACTAAAAGATGACATTTGTTTTCAGAAAATAAATCTAGGAGTTAAAGACTAGTATGAATTTGTTTTCACTTCTCATTTGAGTTCAGGTCTGAGCTATTTAGACTCATTTTATCATAGTAAATAAAAACCTTAAAAACTTAAGACTCCCTAAATACCCACGACTGCCCAATAAGCAGCAATAGTTTCTACATTCGGAAATTTTGTTTTACAACTGCGTGAGTTCTGTATTACCAATATTAATAAAAAGAGGAATCTTCTTATCTTACTTAACTAGGACACAAAGGGACTTTCAGGAAAGGACAACAGACATCCTCAACAGCGGAAAGAACAGATAGGGTGAAAGGAAGAGGAGGAATTGCAAAATCTTAAACATTTTATGTCTACAGTCCTCCAAATAAGCATATTAAAAAGTAAATACATCTGCCAACATCCAAAGGACAAACAACACCAAATGTTGGCCAGGATGTGGAGAAAGGGGAACCCTCCTACACTGCTGGTGGGAATGTGAACTAGTTCAACCATTGTGGAAAGCAGTATGGAGGTTCCTCAAAAAACTCAAAATAGAAATACCATTTGACCCAGGAATCCCACTCTTAGGAATTTACCCTAAGAACGCAGCAGCCCAGTTTGAAAAAGACATATGTACTCCTTTGTTTATTGCAGCACTATTTACAATAGCCAAGAAATGGAAGCAACCTAAGTGTCCATCAGTAGATGAATGGATAAAGAAGATGTGGTACATATACATAATGGAATATTATTCAGCCATAAAAAGAAAACAAATCCTACCATTTGCAACAACATGGATGGAGCTAGAGGGTATTATGCTCAGTGAAATAAGCCAGGCGGAGAAAGACAAGTATCAAATGATTTCACTCATATGTGGAGTATAACAACAAAGAAAAAACTGAAGGAACAAAACAGCTGCAGACTCACAGAACCCAAGAATGGACTAACAGTTACCAAAGGGAAAGGGACTGGGGCGGATGGGTGGGAAGGGACGGATAAAGGGGAAAATGGGGCATTACTATTAGCACACATAATGTAGGGGGGTGAGGACATGGGGAAGGCAGTATATACAGAGAAGACAAGTAATGATTCTATAGCATCTTACTATGCTGATGGACAATGACTGTAATGGGGTATGTCTTGATAATAGGGAGAGTCTAGTAACCATAATGTTCAAGTAATTGTACATTAACGATATAAAAAAAATATATATATATATATCTGAGTTATGTCTCCTTTTGAATTAGTTGTGAGACCTGTAAAAGTAGAAGTCTGTTTTAGTTTGATGTTTTAGTTACATCATAATTAACCAATGTTTTGGTGAGCAAAGAACTTTAATTTTTTTTGTTTTTAGCAGCAAACAGGAGAATTAGAGAATTGCATAATGATATGGAAGTTTTTAAGGATCATTCTCTTTCTTTCATAGCAGTTTTCAAACCTGTTTGGGTATTGATCGTATTTGGAGAGTTTTGTGTTTACTACAAACTCTCAGGTTTTCCTGGAGGTTCTGATTCAGTGAGCCTTGGGCAGAATCTCAAAATCTGTGCTATTTTAAAATTTGTACATAATTACAGTTGACAGCCAGATCTAGCCCAGTTTCAAACTACAAAGCAGGCCTTTGTTGTTGAAGGAAAGAAATAGCCACCATTTTCACAAAAGATAATGAAAGAAAAAATTCTAATCTTTTTGAAAATATTTTGCTTCTTTCTGAATCCATTTACCTTCTTTCTGGTTTTTGAATTTACCGTATTTTATTGATTGTGAAGTATACATTTTTTTTCATGAAATCTCTGAAATTGAGATGCCTTTAATCATTAGCATCTGAGATAAGTAATTTCTAGAGACCTGCTATACAACAGCATACCTACAGTTAACAATTCTGTATCATCCACTTAAAAACTTGTTAAGAGGGTAGATTTCATGTTGTGTTCTTACCACAATAATAAAAAGAAAAACAATGGCATGTAACAGTGGCAGACATGGTTATATGAAAACTTTCTGTTGAAAATTGACAAAATTATTGAGAGCCAACATCAGACCACTTAGATTGAATGAAATGAAGTATTTTCCATCCATCTTAGCTTAAATTTTTGAGTCAATACTAAAACTAGACTTTAATTTCCTAAGTACCAAATTTTAGCAGTTCAGCTTTTCTGTCAAGTAGTCTTGACTTCTGACTAGCCAAACCCTTCAGAAATCTCTCCCTAGCCATCTGTTGCAGGAAGTTGTAGATCCTCACCTGCACAGCAACGGGCAGGCTCTAAATGTGTGGCTGAGAAAGCTGTGGACTCTTAACTCCCTAGAAAGGGACTTAAAGTATCAGCTAGAACTTAGAGCATCAGAAAACATGTATCACATTTTCATGTCTCTCAGCTCTACTCTTAGCTTTTCCATGTGCAGCTAGAGTGGGTCAGCAAGAAGTTCCTAGTTCTGCTCCCATGAATACCTTTTCTAGAGGTGTATGTGACCGGATCAGGTGATAACACTTTATATCAAATTTTAGGAAAAAATAGTTACTGACTCAAGTCTGTCCTCTAAAAGCTAAATAACATATTGGTGTGCTCCTATTTGGTGTTACCTCTAACTACAAATTGAACTAAATTTAGAAATAGAGTTGTGGAATACTTAATTTAATAAAACATTAATCTTGCTTGACTGAAATAGAATACTCAGTGGGCAAGGCTGTGGTTTACTATTGATGGTTTTGCACTTGTTTTGTACGTTGCCCAGGTCACTGAGTTCAGAGGACTGAGATGAAAATGGCAGACTATTTTTTATACTTAGATTAGTGGCAATGAAGAGCCTCCTAGAGAGGCCTTGTACTACTTCTTTAATCTTAAACTGAGTTTCTCTGCTCACTAAGGAGGGTACCTTTACTTAATTACCCTTTCCTGTGTGTTTCCAGCATTCAAAGAGAAACCTCAGTATCCACCAAGTCAGGCTCAAGCAGTTCTCAAAGACAGCCCCCCTGAAGAGTACTCCTATAAGAAATCAATACGGAACTTATTTAAAAACATTCCTTTTGTCCTTCTGTTGATTACTTACGGTAAGTGGTTTTCTTTCATTTTCTTTGTTGTCAGTATAAACCTTTAAGCATGCTAGATTCTTTTCATTTAATCTCATGGTTTGAAATTTAATGAATGAGATAGGTTTGTTAACGCTGTAAAAATAACAATTGCATATCATAAACTTAAGTTTTGAACTAAAAGCTAAAACTTCAGGATGGATTTTCTTATATGTTTAAAAAATTTTTTTAAATCTCAAGTAGAGAAGGGCTGTCGTCTTTCAAGAGTTCTAAGATATTTTAGGTCTTTATGAACTATAATTATGACTGCCATAAGCATATGGGAAAGATCATCAACAGTTCCTTTCTTTGATCCTGTATAAACTGGCATCCATTTGACTACTCAGTCAAAACTGGACATTAAAGAGGTCACCTTAACCAGGTCTAATTTTTAAAAAAATTCTCATCCTTCTAGATCTTTCAGGATAGCTGACAGATAGTTATTCATCCTCAGAGTGTAGCTTTGACTGCAGGTACCAACACATTTGGTTCCCTTCAGAGCTTTTTGATTTTTTGTTCCTTATATTAATACTGTTTATATTCACCACCAACACCCTCTATTTCTGTCTTACTTACCTTCAAAAGCCACTCACTGTGTTCTTTACATTTCGTGGGGAGCACATACACTAGTACATAATTGCATTAAAAGTTTTAACAAATTATGCCCTAACTTAAACTCTTACCCTTTTACCAAGATTACTTCTTCTATTATTTTTTTTGTTTTTGTGGAAATCATTAAACACAAAAGCAGAACATTTGAATCTAACGAATTCATATGTACTCACCACCACCCAGCATCAATAGTTATCAACATTTCACCATTTTTGCTTTATCTAGTTCCTCTGCTTGTTTTCTGGTATATTTTAAAGCAAATCCTAGGTGTTATATCATCTCATCAGTAAATACTTCCCATGCCAAAGTTCATTTTCTTGATTTTGCGGTTACTTCTACTGGTTAGCTTACCTAAAACTCCTAACTAGGAAGTAGAAAAAAATATAGTGGCTTGCTGTTATCTATTAGAGCAAATTCATTTCTTTAGCCTGTCATTTAAGGTGGCTTTTTCTACCTTCTTTTATTTTTTTTTCCCCAATAGAAAATTCTCTTTTAGTCAGATTTATAACCAACACCCTCTGAAGGATAGATACACTCACAGATGCATATGCAGACATATCACCACATGCATATATTATAATTTTGTGCCATTATTTCTTTAACCTGAAATGTACTTCTTTTTTTTCTTCAGCTGTACTGTAAGAGCTAGCTTAATGTTTACCTCACTTATGATTCATTTTGTTATTCATTCCTTTATCCATCAATAACTATGAAATATCGGCTAACTATATAGTAGTGTCCTAGATGCTGTGTAGGTTAGAAAGAAGCATGATACAGGATTTCTGCCCTCAAGTTATTATAAACCAATTGGGTAGATAATATAAACATCTGAAAAGCAAACAACAGTGTCAGAGTAATTTATCAAAAAGGTAATGACACAAGAGAAGTTGTATGGCAAGTGCATGCTAAAGCCTTCAGAATGTATAACTGGGAAAGGATAAACAGAGGGAAGGGGTGTGGTTGGCAGGAGGCACATCAGGGCAGAGATGGTGGCTGAGCTGGCCTTGAAGGACAGGTTAGAATTTGGAGAGAAAGAAGAGGGAAATGGCATGAGCAAGGGTCTTGGATGATGGTACCTTCTCTGGATACTTTAATTTCTGTGGCGTTTTTATGTATTTTTTATTTATTTATTTTTTTGTATTTAACATGGGTTTTCTTTATTAGAAAGCATTTTGTACAGTACAATAGAAGCTTACAAGTATTCTACAGAGAAAATTGCGTGCAGACTAGATTACAATAAGTCACAATACATCAATATCCCGACAATTGAGTCCCATGGTCAGATAAACTGTGATAAAGTAACGGCTCTCTTTTTTTGAAATAAAATCAGTGGTTGCCAGGAAATACTCTGCTTGCTCACAAAGAAAGTAAGGAGCAGAGAGCTTTAAAAAAAAAAAAGTGGTAGCAATCCCCAAGCCATGCATAAAGAAAGTTATGCCAGATGGCTTTTCTCATCTTATCTATCCTAACCTCAGGGAAGAGTCAATGTGTGCTTGGATTTTCCACTATTTTGCTAGTCTTGGACGTTTTCCCAGAATATCCTTACAGATACTTGGAAGGATGACCTGTGCCTTCATGGAAACATCTATCCCACACCCTCCTTTACTCGATCCTCACCCCATCAATGCCCAGGTCATGGGCAAAACCAAACATGCACTGTGGGGCTGTTTTCCTGTCTACACACCAAAAATCATACTGCCACTACCATCTTTAACTCATAAGTTAAAACATTTTGGAAATACTATATAGCATAAAAATCAAACTGCATTAAGGGATTGTTAATAAAACATACTTGTTTACTGCACAACCACAAAGCTCCCTACCCCCAGTATAACCTGACACAGCTCTTCCAAATACAGAACAGTGATGACCCTTCCTGTTTTAGGTTGTTCTAGAGGTTGCGTCCGTATTTCCCAGTCATAAGTAGACTGCTATTCCTCGATTATCTGCTTTAAGCTTTATTGGTTTATCATTGAATGGGATGAGCTGATTTATTCACACCCCAAGTCCACCTGATCCCTGCATATAGAATAACACCTATAGATTAATTGGTGACTTTAATGGCTTATACCTAAACTACTTCTATTTTTTTTTCTCTCCTCAAGGATGGTGTCCCCCTCTTGAGTTCTCATTTTGTAAAATGATGTGAATGTCCCTAACCTGAGTTCCTCCCTCTGCTGTCCTGCGGCTCTGTCCTCAGTACCTTTACATCATTGAGTTTGGTGACATTCACGTTACAGTCTTAACCCTTGCCATCACCTGGTTTATCTGTCTCTTGATTCTAATTGCTGAAAATGCTTTATGTATGAGTACTTTCCACAGTTTAGAAATAATGATTAAATAGTCTTCTAGGATGAGATTCTTTTTCCTGAAAAACGTTCTTAAATGTTCCTTGACTTTCAAAGGGACATGATTTTTCTCTCTGAAGACCCTTTTCCTTCTCCACACTTTTCATACACTTAATTTCTTCTGACATCTCCAACACAGTCTGGTCTCTGGATTTTATGTCTTTAATATTACATCATTTAATACTTGTTTATACACAAATATTAGGTGAAAAGTTATTGTTTGAAATTCATAAAGGACTTCTGTATATGTTATTTCATTTACCTTTTTGAGGTAGAATAATTATTATACCTATTTTATAAATAACGAATTTGAGTTCTCATTCCTTAATTCTAATTTTATTTATTTTCCACAAAATTTAAAAGGCACAAAGGATGTACAGTGAAAAGATGGTCTTCCTCCATCTCTATCCCCAGGCCACCCTCCTCCCCCACCCCAGAGTCAGTCCCTGGTATCATCTGAAACTTAATTGCGAGGCCAGTGCAACCTTGATATCAAAATCAGATAAGAGTATGAGAGAAAAATTATAGGCCAGTTTATCTTATGAATGTAGATACAAAAATCCAAAATAAAATATTAGCAAACCAAATCCAGCAATTTATAAAAATGATAATACATTCTGAACAAGTTTGGTTTATCTCAGGAGTAAGACACAATTTAGTACTAGAAATTTATGAATACAGTTTACCACAGTAAGAGATCAAAGAAGAAACTTTACCCACTAGCTGAGGAAAAAGCATTTGTTGAATTCAATACCTGTTGATTAAAGACTCTCAGCAAACTGTGAAGAAAATGAACTTTCTGAACCTGGTAGAGTTTATCTACAAAAACCCTATAGCAGACATCATTTTCAAGGGCGAACCTTAGATGTGTTCCCCTTAAGAATCAACAAGAAGTATCCATCAAAACAAGAACGCCTCGTGTTTCCATGCTGCTTAGCATACAACTGCATGTCCTGGCTAGCCCAGTAACACAAGGAAAAAAGTATGTGAATTGGAAGTAAAACGATGCTATTATTCAGATAATACAAAGTATACATCACAGTTTAGCAAACCATGGCCAATGAGTCAAACTGTTGCCTATTTTTTTATTTTTTTATTTTTTTAAATTTTTACTTTGCTATTATTGATATACACTCTTATGAAGGTTTCACATGAAGAAACAATGTGATTACTACATTTACCCATATTATCAAGTCCCCACCCACACCCCAGTGCAGTCACTGTCCATCAGTGTAGTAAGATGCCACAGATCCACTATGTGCCTTCTCTGTGCTATACTGTTCTCCCCGTGATCCCCCACACCATGT